AGACCAGGGTTCCTTTGCAGTGGAAGACATTGAAGCCTGGGTTCCTTGTCAAGGGGATGATTTGGGCGTCAGCTACCTCGCGCGAGCCGCACGGAACACAGACCTATGCACACTGTCTCACGCGAGCCTCCTGTACGGGCAGAGAACACATAATTACTCGCCCGGTTCATCCGGGGCCCTTGAGTGCTCGGCTGTCTTCTGAGTGTTCCTGAGTGCGTCAGGCCAGCTCGGAAGGAAGCGTTTCCTTCACCGTGCAGCTGGAGCAGAGCTTCATCTCCCATGTGCGGGTGCTCGGATCTTCGGGAGTGTTGCCGGCAGCAGCTACTACCTTTTCTTGCCGGAAGTACATCAACTGCACCTGCTAACTGCTGCTGCTGCTGGTGTTTTTGCCTCATGTGGCTGGTGATGGTGGAGGGTGGCTTGAAGATTTGTTTCTGCGCAGTCCGGCATTCCTAAACAGCAAGCCCCCCTTCCAGCAGCTTGCGCAAGAGAGCTGAAACTAGCAGGACCATAGTGATTCGCCGACATACCGTGCAGATCGCCCAGTGGGCTCCTTCCTGGACAGAGCGTCGAGTCTCGTCGTGTCAAGATACGCGGTGCAGTGCCAAGTCCAATGTGAATGCTCCCAGGCAGGCTTGAAGGCAACCTTCATCTTTGGACTCAAATGGACCAGCCAATCCCCCTCCTAAGGCTTGAGCCTCGTCGGTGGAGCTGGGATCAGTCTATATCAGATTATATTCGCTAGCCGCTAGCAACGTCAAAGCATTGGACTTGCACGCATCTCGGGTTGACCCTCGCCAGCAGGCGGAGGCGCCTCACCAGTTGCTCTCGGCTTCAGGCATCGCACGGGACAGAATTCCACGACAAATCGTCGGAACAGAAGCAGGAATAGCACGGGTATAGTGTCTTCAAGAAGCCAGTATAAGGCCGAACGAGATGCGATTTGTCCAAGCTCGAAGGGTGCACGAAGGATTCACAAGCGTTGCCAACAAGATCTGCGGGAGGCCACGCCGTTTCCCTCAGCTCCTCAGAGATCGTGTGCTGGGACGCTGGTCAGCAGACTTGAGCAGAAGCTTTTGCAAACTATGAACGAGATTTTTGACAGAAGACTACATGTTTATCAAACTTGGAATCCAAGAAATAGGATTCCCGGCCAACCTCACCAGCTTCCACCTGCTCCCTATTCAAAAGATGGGTGGGGCGAGAACTCAATTTTCCGAGGGAGAAGGAAGAAAGAGGAAATAATGCTCACCTCCCAAACTCTCATCCCATCGCAGTGAGTGGGTCTTCCGTTTTCTGGGAGCACACTCTTGGCTTCATCTCTATCTGGGATTTGTGTTATGGTGAGCGATTTAAAGGGGGAGAATGTCGCTGAAGCCCTGCACAGCTCCTGAACAAAAAGAACTGGAAGACTGCTTTGACCATCCCAGCCAAGGAAATCGCTTCTCCTGGACCTGCGGCTACGACTGAAGCGGCATAGATAGTTCCGAGGAAGCAGGGCTCCATCAGCGTTGGGTGAACCGTTTCCATGAAAGCTCAAGACCCGACGTCTACTCTCAGGCAGTATTCTCTAGAATCCTAAAACCCATAAGCTTAAGGCTTCACGCATAGAGTTTTTGAGGACCTAGGGCTAAGGTGGCAATGGCTGGATCCCTGCATCCGGGGGTGGGGTGACTGCCGTCGCATCACGACAGTCCGAAGGTGCATTGGGAGTGGGCAGGTGGGCCTGTTTTTCAAGCGTCGGGGCCTAAACTTCCTATGCAGCAGAGACACCGTAGTGCTTTGCTTGGTTTGAAAGCACTTCGAATGAATGGCCCCGACTTTGAAAGGGCTCCTGCTGAGCTGCGACGGGGCGCCAGGAGAAATCGAGTGCTGCGCCTTCTGGTGCACTTCTTGCCACTGCATGTACGCACTTTCGTCACGAAGCTCAGCGCCTGGAGTTCGCAACTGTGCTGCTTGCGCCGGGTTCGTCAAGCCAAGTCCCCCATGACCTCAACAGACCCTGCTTTTTGGTGCATTTTGTTCTTGGCTTCGACCTTGGGGAAGCTGACTTCTTGGGGCTTTTTCTGGCTCAAGGGAGCGGTTTGCTGGGCCTCGGAGCTCCCGCCGCAGCTGCCCCGTGTGGAGCCATGCCGCCGAAGGGGAGAAAGAACTCAGATGAGGCCTCGGGGCGGCGGGGCTTCTTTGCCCAGAAACCTGGTGTCACCGGCTTCGTGGCTTCGTGGTCGGGATGCTTTTTTCCATCTGTTGAATCCGTGCCCGGCCATTTCCTTCCGGCCCCGCTGAAGGCATTTTAAGAGCCGAGGCCTCGAACTTGCCAAGGCCCCCCAAAGCGGCCCTGAATCATGGGTTAGCTCGTTTATCTCGGCAGGCAATACCCGCGAAAGCAGGCGCATGTTGGGGACAGGAGTGGGTCAAGATGTTTCTCTTATCATTTCAGTTGTATGAGTCTTACGCTACTGCTCTTCAGTGGCAGATATCCAGGAACGCTTACCATGGTCTTTTGGTGTTTCTAGTAGTGTTAGTAACTGTTAGTACTGGGTGTGGCTGGTGAATTTTGAGAGATTGAGGTGCGCAAATCCATTCTACGCTGATTGACTCGGGTTGTAGTGAGCATCCGCATGACAGAAATTCGTAGACCCCACTGTAGATCATGCTGCCGGAAAGAATGCTCGTTCGAGCATAGGCACAGTGCGGTGGAACTCCTACAACCTTGCTACTTGTTTGGCTCTGCGTGCATACTGTTGCTTCGTCGTTGTCTTGTTTGCTTCTCTTAGTCAAGTCGACGGTTGCTACATGTTCCAGTATCCATGCGTTGCCACCCTGTTGGCTATTGACAATCGGTGCAGTAGTTCAAGGAACGCCTGCCAAAGCCCAGGTACCGCCGATAGTGGATCCGCCTGGAGCAGGCAGCCACAAGTTGTGCTTTGAAGGGACCCTGGTTCCTTGGATGATTTCCCGAACTAGGCAGCACAGCTTCGTGATCCGACGCAATATACCGTATACCCTGTGCAGTGGATGCAGCTGCCCCTCCCAAAGACTTTGCGAGTCGAAACTCTGAAGGCTCCAGATAAGCTGAAAACACTCTACCATCATACATGCGCTAGGCTCTAGACCCTTTGGATGCAAGAGAGGGAGGGAGAGGGAGAGAGAGGTACATGAAACATGCATCTCAAGCCCATTTTCGGTGGCTCTTGCTCTTCTCATCTCGCAGGCCTCCAAATTCTGGAGCTCCCGCTCGGGCACCCACAACAGCTTCCTCAGCAGGCGGGCAATCTCGGGAACGCTCATCCGTCTCTTCTATTGTCGTTTATTGTACTGTGGTGGCATATTACACAAACGTGGGCTGCAGAGTTGCTCAAAATAGATCGGAGGACTCGCAACAGGAAAGGTCCTGCTGCACAACCAACCTCAGTGGTTTGCCTGAAAGCCCCAACCCGAGCTGCCAGAGTTCAAGCCACGAAGTGAACTGCATGATGAAGCATGGTTGCTATTGCCGTTATTCCTGTCACAACGATAACAGTTGGCAGTTCCTGTTATGGATTGTTGCAAAGAGACGACGAATGCGGTCTTTCCTGCGCTGCCAGGCCCGAAAGCTAAGGCTGCTGGTGTGACCCATATGAGTATAGCTGCTCAGGCGGCGAGGCAGGGCCGGGCGGTTGGGGTGGGGAAAGGTTTCGAGCAGGAGACCAGACATCGGTTGTGTTGTCCGGAAGTTTGTGCTGAGGGAGGTAGGCCACGTCGGGTTTGGTGATTTCGGGAAGACGAGAGCCACACTGACCATGCGGCCGCAAGCTTGAAAACGAAGACCGCCGTGTTTTGCCGCGTCCGACGAAGACGACAATAGTCATAGTGACTAGTGATGGTGCTGCCGAAGAAAAGATGATGCCTGTGTTGGGGGGATGAAGCTTCGGGAGAATCGGGCCAAAGGCAGAGAACTATGGCTAGTGAGACCAGGATGATTCGTGTATAGCTAGAAAGCATCAGCAGTGTCAAGGACAGCAAAGGGAAGTGTGATGATGATGCTGATATATCAATGAGAATGATGACAGATGGTCCTGTTGCAACGATGAGGGCGTTGGCGTTGGCAAACCAGGAAGAACAGCAGCAACAACCAGAGCTAACCCTTGAGTGCACTTGCGAAGGCTGGCAGGAATACAGACAAGCTCCTTCTTGCTTAGCATGTTGCGCCAAGCAGAACCTTCACGCCTGGAGCCACCTTTGCCGCAGGAATCTCGGAGGTTTTGTGCCGAATAAGATCTTCGTCGGTGGTGTGCCGATTACAGTCACCGAGGCCTGGGAGTTGTTGTTGAAATCTTGCACCGCGTAGTCTGCAGGCTTCATGAAGGGGTTCGAGGTTTCCACTGTCAAAGGTACCTTCGAAAGTTCATGTGGCGTCATTCTTGCTTAAACTCTTGAGACACACTTCTGCTCCCATTCGCTGATTTGCTTGTTGTTCAGCCGACGGCTCCCATTGCTCCAGTTTGGCCAGGATCTTTTAATGTTGGCTTCTGTCGCACTGCTGGTTCAGGAATGGCTTAGGCGGAGCTGTTTGACAGTTCTTCACGGCAGGAGCAATTCAGGCAATGCTTTGCGCAGTACGGAGCCATTGCGAAAGCGGCTTGGCAGAAAGGCTTGCCGGTCAGGCCACCGCCCCTCCACCACACCCAGCAGCGATGGTATAGCAGGTTTCGGCTAGCGATGACAGTGGGGAAATTCAATTGAGTCATTTGCCCTCCCTCGTCGCCCGCCGCCGTCAGTCACCAAGTCAGAGTGACAATTCCAGACCAGACGAAACTGTGGAAACGACATTAGCTCACGCTCTTTGAGCTTCACGGACCACGAGTCGCCTTCGGGCATCGGTGTTGCATCGTTCGAGACAGGCAAGCCTTTCAGAAACCGTGGTGATCTGCAAGGAAAACTCAAGGTCCGTGAAGAACAACGCTTTTGGGATGCACGCAGAAGGCGAGGATAGGCCGAAGCCAGTATACCATAGCCCCATGGCTGAGGTGGAGCTTCATGCGCTGAGAGGCTTTGGATACATAACCTACGACACCGTCGAGGCCAGAAAGATGGTCTTGGGTCAAAGGGCTCTCATCGATTGGAAGCTATCCGACCGAAACTGAAGTAATCATGTCGGGTTATCAGATAGTCTTCTAGAACACAAAGAATCAGCAAATTCATAATGTTCTGCTGCTTTTTGGACGGGGTGTAGTGACAGCTGGGTTGAAGCGGTCCTGCTTATATTCTCTGCTGGTGTCGTCGATACTGTCCTTTGCCGAGTGCGAAAATTCCAGCAAGAATCTGGGCATCATCGCAAGGGAAACACTTGCACTCTGCTCGCCACTTTCGCTCGGCTCAGGCTGTGGATGCGTGTCTAGAAAAGTACGAGGAGCATTACCTCAGCAAGAAGTGGGTAGAAGCCGCGACCTCGGATCTTTGCGGCTTGAAGCTTCTGCACTACCAGGCGCATTACGGCGCATTAGCCTTAAAGATGTCTGTGTGAGGTGAAGCGTTCCATCCCTCGAGAGCTCATCGATGCCTACGCAGCCCGGCGAGAAATGCTTGCAGCGAAGCGCACCGAAGAGAGCTGCGGTGGACGTCGTCGGGATTGCTAAGTTTGGCGAGCGCTGTCTTCCGCAGTATACGTGAGCCGAGGAGAGGGAACAGCGGCGTTTACATACCCTCCACAGCGAAGCTCAGAAAGCAGCAGCGCCCAAGGCAGCTCGGAGTGGAGTCAAGCAGGGTTGGGGGTGCAGATGGCTGCGGAGATGGGTTGAAGTCCGTGTGGTTCGGAGTTCGAGCTTCTTACACCTTTTGGTACCGTCCGTAGCTGTGACGGCTGCATGGACAATGTAGAGGTGGAATCTATTGACAGTGAATACGGGCTTCAGTCCACGATTGGGGGTCGACATTGACGATTTGGTTTCAATTGCTTGCAGCCCAGCGGTGAGGGCTTTTCAACTCACGATTTCACCCAGTGTCAGTGTGTGTGTGTGTGTGTGTGTGTGCGTGTGCTTGTAGAGGAAGGATGTCCAACGATGAATGACCACATCTTTTTGGTGCTGCACGTTATCGATATCGGTTGAGATAGATAGATGCGCCCTTCAACCTAATTTTTCCTGCGTTGGCTCAGCACGGAGAGTGAGAGAGAGAGAGAGAGTTTAATCAGATGAAGGTAGGAGCTCTGGGCATGAGGTCCTCCACGGATTTGGCTTTAAGAAGGGACACCGCCAGAAAGCCAAGGAGCCGGCGGCGTCTCCCAAGGCCGCGGCCAGCGCACCGTCGGGCTACGTGGCGGCAAGCAGCAGCGACAAGGGCACATACTGTTGCATACCTCGCCTTCGTCGTTTGTGAGTCTCGAGGAGCTGCCTTGCTGTGACTGACTTTGGTACCAAACCACAGCAAGAGACGGCCGAGGGCAAGGGTCGGGGGAGGGCTAGTACTGAAACCATGCGGCAGCGTCTTGCCTGAGGTGGCAAAGGAAATGCGATTCCCGGCTCTGCCCCGGCCTCACACCATTCCTGATGTATTTGTGGCTGTTCTGAAAAAAGGGCCTCGTTGGCACCCTGACGTTTGAGGGCATGAGGATTGCCTGCGAATGTTTTCAGGGTTTGGAGCTTTCAGGACATTAGAGATATTCAATCAGAGCGGCCAGACTTTGCTGCCCTCACCACAATTTTGCATCTGCGTCAGGCAAAAATTGCGAAACGTGACTCTGCGCCCAGGCGCCCGCGCCGAAGGCTGCCGCCGTGCGCTGGCCTCAGGGACCACATGCGTCATTTGCTACTGTTCACGCCTCGTTTTGATTGCTTCTCATTCAGGCAAGTGGCCTTTGCCGTTTTCCTTTGAGCTTTGACTCTCGGCCAGTGGTATTCCCGGAACTTGTGCGCACTGCCAGGGCCACAGGCGTCGCTGGGCCTAGACCGCCTCCGACGGCAATGCCACTCCAGAGGAGCGCAGTGAGGCTTCTTCATGTCTTGCCGGCTCCCTTCGCCATCCGGTACAACCCCAAACCCCGGGTGGCAAAAAGAAATCTGAGTCTTGTCGCCGAGAAACCGGCCCACTGCTGCCATGATCTGGCCCCCCATCTCCCACCTTTGCTTAAACGCGAGCTGTAACGCTCCGGAGGACGAGGACTTCATCCTCCATCGGTAGCGAGAAAGGAGGCTACGGAGGCTTGGGCCGGTTCCTGACATGTCGCAGGATTCTTCCAAACCCACAGGACCCTTACAAGGACGTCACAGTTTCGGGATCTGTCTCGGGGCATTGCAGGGTCCACAATTCTCCCCGAAACTTCCATGCTTCCTTGTTTACAAGGTCCGACCCATCCCAGGCCTGATGTGCCTTGACTCTCTTCACAGTTGTGTTCAAGAAGGTCGCGCGAAAGCGCCTATAGGGGGTTTCGGTGTGGTGCATCGAAGATCCTGGAGAATTGTCCGTGTAGCTCCCAGGCCCGAGCCCAGGGGCCCCCCGGCTGACCCAAGTGACTGCACATGAGAGTCACGAGAAGCCATGCCAGACGGATGTTCGCCTTCACTGCTTCGATGAGAAATCTGCTTGGGCTTCGCGGGATCCTACTCTGCAGCTTCACAGCTTTCGTAACCTGTGCTACACTGATCAGCCGGTCTGGACCCTCCGTCGAAGTGTTATGGCCTCATGAAGATTGGAACCGACCTCCACCACCAGGCACATGCCGACGAACTCGATTTATGCCCTTCATTGCCGGCTGCCCCAAGTCCTGCGCCGATCTTCGCCCGGACAAGCCGGAAGAGCGCTTCTACAAGACCGCGGTGATTTGGCGTTTGGGCCGCTTGAAGGAGATCCCCAATGCCACGGCGGCAGCAGCCCTCACGGACACCGCCATGTCCCAGCGGTTTACAGCGGATCCTGCGTACATCCACGCCTTCGCAGCAGCAGAGCAGAGCCTCACTGAGAAACAAGCTGAGGAGTCCCAAGCTTTGGGCCTAAAGCCACTGAGCCTGTCGCAGCAGCGGAACGTGCACATGAGCCTCGCCTACCTCTGCTGTCTCACGTCCACAGAGATCGCAACTGTCCGCGAGGTCGTCGGGCGCTGGCTACAACAGCAGATGGACTTGGACTTCCGAGCCGTCTTCGACAGAGTGGAGTGCTGGCAAGAGCGCGTCGACTCGATAACCAACATCATCGTCGCCGACGAAGCCACGCAGAGGACAGTGATGAAGCTCTACCAATCGCTCTCGCGTTCGATCGAAGACGCTGGCGTCCCCCAGCCCGTTCAGCGGGATGACCAGATGCCGTTTCACATGACCTTGTTGGGTTTGCACACAGGCTCGGATCGCTCGGACGTCTCAGCCTATTTGGCACCTGTTGCTCGGGCCGTCGATGCTGCGACGGCTCGGCATTTTACCGGCGGCGTGTCCACCCACATTCGTGGTGCTCCAAAGCTGGACGAAGCGACTCCGGAGGAGCAGCGCTAACGAAGAGAAAGTGCCAGGGTAGGCCTGTTTGCAAGAAAGAGAGAGAAACCGAGAAGAGCTTTGTCTTCCGATGCGGCTTCGTCATTCGACAACGTGCACTTCGTGGATGCGACGCCAGCTCGGCAGTGCGCTCTCCGTCCTCTCTCGGTGGAAAAAGTGTCGACTTGAGGTTGCGATCTTCGGGAGTTCGGCTTAGGCCCTTAGGCCGCCATAGACTTAAAAAAGATGCCTGGTTTCTGGGTGACCATGGGTGACCTGGGGTTCGAATCCGTAGTCCGGTGGGGAATCCTCCACGTTACTGCCCCTTGCCAGGTACGACTCCCGCAGATATGGGTAGAATCTCGCAGCTGAAGGCCTGTGTTGTCGGCAAGCGTCGAATAGCATGCCATGTGCGATCCAGCATGTGGCATGCAGTAACAGTACATGTACCTATGCTGTACACTTTGGATAGGTCACATGTCACATGGCACCAGTTGTCAGCCACGCTTCGGAGCTTGAAGACACATCTGGAGAAAATTAGCCGCCGGCTAAGCTTGTGGTGATCAGGAGATGGGCTTCTCAGACGAAGTGTCACGGAGAGTGCTTGCAGAATGCGCGTGGGACGTCAACAAGGCCAGCTGCTGAACGAAATCGGCAAACGTGAGAGCGTCGGCTGCGTGCAGCTTGTTGGAATCGCCGGGCTCAGACAACAAGCCGAACTCGTTTCAGTGTGCTTAAACTTTACTAGTAGCATGGAGGAAACTGAATCTTGTTGAGGTACCGACGCGTACCCTCGAAATAGAGTAGATCCTGCCTTACACTTGTGCCGCAGCTGACAGAAGCTCCTCCCAACCAAAAGGGTATTTTCTGTCGCCTTGTACCAGGCAATCGACAGGTTGCTGCTGTCAGGCGTTCCAGATGATCTGCCGCAGCAGGGCGCAGGAGCCATGCGAGGGGAGGGGAGAAGTTCCAGGGCAAGGAGTCGCAGTCGCTGCAGGGCATTGAAGTTTGGTGTTGGATCGCGCAGGAGACTCAGAGAAGCCAGGCCAACCGGCGGGGGGCGTGTGGCCTAGAGAGGGTAGCCTCAGGCTTCGAGGTGACGAGAGCTTGGAGGAAGGACTGCAGTCAAAGAGAGAGAAACCGCGTGACCTGCGCTCCGGTAGCCAAGGAGCCCTGCTTAAACAGCACAGCGTCAACAGCATGTCTGTAGCTTCAGACATTGAACAGCAGCATGTGAGCAGTAGTCAGTCAGCAAGCCCAACTGTGCATACCGAAGGTACCGGTAGAGACTCCGTCAATTGGTTCTTGCGAGGGTTGTGGCTGCGGCGTAAAGGATGGATGGTAACTGCTTGTCCAATCGCATGCGTCCCAACACAGCTGCCAGATCAGCTTTTGCTGCTGTCCGCCGCCGCAGGCACCGGTGACCCTCCAGAGGTCCCCGAAGAGCCCGACGATCTCGATGCCTCAGCCGAAGCGCGAAGCAGCGACCACGTAGGCCTTTCCTTGGTGCAAGGGGCAGGGTGGTAAGGGGTTTGGGCTTCGGTCTCATCAACATCATCAACAGGAGGGTCACTTCGGCAGCCTGGGAGGTGGTGTTTCCTACTCCTCTTCACTGGCTGTGGGGGGGGGGGGGGTTGGGCAGTTGTCGGGTTTTGGTTTTGGGCGGCCTGGATGTATGGGTTTGACACTTGGTTTTTTTGAGTCTGTCCAAGGGGTCCATCCTCTCGGCCTTCTTTTCTCTCCGTGCCTCCGCTTCCGACTCCACACTCCACATCCCCCCCAAATTGAGATATACCGAATCCTGTCCACCGTGCCAGGTGACGTCAACGGCAAAAGTAGCTTCTTCCCGGTCACGCTCTCAGCGCTTGCGTGCTCGAACCTTGCTGAGATCTTGGTCAAGTGAGCAAAGCGGGCCCTCACTGCAGAAAGAAGGCAGGGAGCGAGAGTAACCGTGGCAGATGGCAGATGTAAGAACGGCAAGGCAAGCAGAGACAGCAAGCGACAAGGACCCAGCAGGATAGTCTGGCGAACTCAAGCTGCAATGGTTTCTGAATCTCCTGCCCGACGCGCACACAACTGAACCTGACTTATGCAGGGTCCGAAGTTGCAAATGGAGGCACCAACAAAGCACACGTGTTGCCCAAACGCACAAAGACAAGAGCGGAGATGGAGTGATAGACCAGACAGCAAGCCGGCTATCCAACTCCAAATTGCTGAGTTTCACGGTGGGCAGGCCAGGTGAACTTAAAATTCCATCTCGCATGCCACGTCTCACTGCAAGTCTCAGCCTCAAGCTTTCGCCCATTTCGTTTCCCTTCCCTCCCGTGTAGCTCCTGCGAAGCTTGCTGCGGGGGAGTGAGACGTGCCTCTGCAGTCATTCTTGGGTGCCTTCCCCGTGAATGGGCTTTGGCAACGTGTGTATCATGTGCTGGCATTTAGCACTGATCCAACAACACGGGCAAGATCTCTGTCGGCCACTGCTGTTCCTAGCAGCTTCAGCGCCTTAGATTTCTCGTCGTACAGGGCAGGGTGCGAAAACATCAACCCTGACTACTTGAATGTTTAGGGCTTGTAGGGCTTTGTACATAGCTATTGTAGCATACCCCTTAGCAGACCAAAGTGCCCCAATCGGCAAGCCGTGGGGTGATGCGACAGGCAACGACCCGGAGTTCCGGCAGACAAGGAACTTTATGCACACCCGAAACCATAGACACGGTTCAGGGTTTGACTGAGCACAGGGTACCTTGACGGCCTTCTCTCCAGAGACTGAGTTCTCCGAGTTGCCTTCCAAGGCCCAGGAGGATCCTCCGAGTACGCTGGAAGCCGAGAAGGCCGCAGAGGCGAGGCTCCGAGAAACGCACTGACGCCACTCTCCACTCTTGAGGGCTCCTACGTCCTAGGGCCGTAGGACTGGGCATATGGAATGGAACTGCGATGACCGTGACGCCTGCTCCAGCAGGGCTTTTTTGCTTGTGGGTCCCTGTCGCATTCTGTCCGTTTGTCTCTGTATGTGTATGCACAATATGTGTTTTTTTTATATGCTTATAGTATATATATATATGTGTGTGTACACGTACCAAAGATTCCGCGTGCCATGAGACGTTTCCGGCTCTTTGTTGTTGGGCGTGCCTCCAGGCCCCCGCGTCGGCCGCAACGCCACAGAACGGAGGCTCGCTGGAGGGCTCGTCCGGCCGCCTCCCCCTACCCTGCCGATTACTCCTGCTCCTGCTGCTGTTGCGACTACCACGACTATTTCCAGGACGTCTACAGGGTGTTATCAGTGCTCTCTTTGCTAGGAGTTCCGGCTGAGCAGCAGCAGCAGCAGCCGGAAGCTGCGGCAGCGACCAGTGAGGCCATGTGAGCACTTGCGTTCAATCCAGGAACCGTCAGGTTTAGGCATGGCTTCAATCGCCGGCCCTGCCGGCTTGCTCCACTCACCTCAGCCAACCTATAGGCTTCCAGGCAGGCAACGCTCAAGGCCTTGCAACACATGGTAGAAGTTAGAAGACGAGCCCGAAGGTTGCTTCTAGCGGCACCCCATTGGTAGCGGCTGCTGAACCCACAGCTCAGTCCGGCTCCCAGGGGGAAAGCTGCGTGAGCCAGGAAGCTTCTCGTCATGCCGAGACCATATCACCACAACAGGGCTCGAGACTTGGGCTCTGGCCGGACTGCCGAGGCCGGCGCCTGTCACCCCCGCCGCTCCGACAAAGCGACTCGAGCGGGCGAAACAAGCCTGGACCGGCAGAGCCAAAGAGCAGTTGGAAGCCGATTCGGCCAAGCCAGTCTTTGGGGAGTTTTCGCTTCCAGGACGTCCGGTGATCCCAGCCAGCTCAGCGTTGCCGACCAGGAGTTTGTTTATGCCGGGCCCTCGGCGCATTGAAGTAGGCACAAGGCACTGCTGGCCCAAGTTCCTTGAAGTACCAGAACGCTTCGACCACGAGAGGTGTGGACAGCGACCGCGACAGAGAACGGGTGGATCCACGCGGAATTAGCCAAAGACCAGGCGCCTCCTGCGTTCTTTGGACAGCCAGTTCTCTTGCATGTTTCTCTCTGACTTCCGAGAACAGCCGCATGCCGTGTCAAGTGTAGCCTTGTGAAACCCTGGTGCCTATGTGGGCTGTTGTTAAACATGATATCCGGCCCGAGACCAAACGGCATCGCCCTCGCGCATCGAGCCTTCAGTTTTTCGCCACCAAGATATCAGCAGTGGAGGCAAAAGTGGGCTGGCTGCCCCGGTTGGTCCTTACAGAGCTCCAGGAAGGCCAGCGATGGATGTTCCTTGGCGAAAGCTCGAGGGTCGACACCAGGGAGAGTGTTCTTGGGACCCCGTCAGCTACTCTACAAACATACAATTATAATCAATTATACATATGCAAGTTTATTGCCTGTCCGCTGTGATATCTTGTCAACAATGCTTGCAGCTTCGACTCTCGCTCAGTGTCTGGGCGTCGTATTTTCTCGCTTTGGTTGAACGGCTTCTAACCTGAGAATCCTGCCCGACTGCTTCGACTTTCCTTCTACTTCACGATAGTGCCCAGGAAAGCCAAGACCAAGTGGGAGGCCAGGGAGGGTTGAAGCAATCGGAAACATTCCAAGAAGATCATGGGCCCATGGGTTTGTCTGGAAGCAGAGTCCGAGTCCGAGTACCGGAAGGGGGTGGTGCCCTGGGAGCTCTAGGCCCCTACGCCAGGCGCGAGACGAGTCACAGTGTAGTGTGGAGATTGGCGAGTTCTGCCTGGTATGGGTTAGCTCCCTTACCAAGGAGGGCGCGTGGCTCAGCCTCCTTCTCTTTGTGGTTGCATATCCCCACCTTCGAATCTGTGAGGCTGGACCTACGTAGACTGCCAGGACGCCGACATCACTTCGTAGAAAGAGGCTTTGGACTCTTGCCATTTTGCAATCTCTGGAAGGATCGCCCCAGCAAGGGCTGGCTTCCCGATTTCTGCTTGGCACCTCGGCGATTCACGTTTGAGCTGCAGCGAAGTGTCGATCTTTCGGTCGTCGAAGTTCTGAGAGCTGAGGTGTGGTCCGAGCAGTAGCCAATACCTCCCGCGAGCCGCTTGGACGGCAAGCGGCAGGGGTGTCCAGGAGTCCAGGGCAAAGTTGGAGCTACGACTTGCACGGGGAAAGAGGCATCTTGCCTGAGACCTTGAAGTCACTACCGACTACCAGGACCTTCTGTAAACAGAGCCACAGATTTTCGGCGCTTCAACCCTTTTTTGGGTAAGCACGTCGGAAGCGTTCAAGAACCCTGACTCCCATCTTCGACCAAGAAGAGACAAACCAACGTTGGCATTTGTTCCATGGACCGTAATGTTGTTCAGGAAGAGATGTGGCCGCACTCCCTCCGTTTCTTTTCAAACGGGTCTCAGGTTGTATCTAGCATGTTGCACGCGGGACGAACTTTGAGGTACCCAGTAACTATCATAACGACAAGCAGCCGCTGTGCTGCACCCAGTCGGAAGGCCTCTTTAGCCGCGGCTGGAGGCATTGCCTGATGCTGACTTAGATGCCACTCGTGGCCACCACCCGGAAGGGGTGGGGACGGTGATCCACCTCGGCACTGGAGGGGTGCAGGATTCAGATGACCTAAAACTCCTAGTCAACAACATAGGCATTCATGAATTCCGCGTGCTTTTTCGCTGCTTTAAATGCTGTTTTGACACGGGGCAGGCGCGTGGATGTTCCCAGCTCTGGAGCTCACCGGCCCCATCTCTCTCTATCACCTGCAGAGCTGTATACTAGCCAGTGACAGACTCTTTCTATCCAGCCGTCGTCCGTCATGGCTACCCAAAGCAAGTAGGACTAGCAAGTCGTCCAGTATTCCCATGAGGCTCTGGGATCAGGGAGTCTGATGTGATGCGGCAGCCGAAGAGCATCAGGTAAGTTTCGTGTCGTGCACCAACACTGCCTCATCAAGAGACAACACATTTCAAGTCATTCGCGCCGGCTGGATAGATCCAGTGACGGAGTCTGGGGGGTTTGTTGATGTAGAAGTATGAGAAGTACTTCCGAGGGCTTATGACTCAATGAAGGCTGGTAGGGCGTTTTTGCTGTGCGATTGGTTCAGGAAGGTTCCAAGCTTAACTTTTCGTGGTTGCAGGGTGTCAGTATTAAAGGCCTCTGCTGAAGGCAAGCCTTGGATGTTTCCCAGCGCAACAGCATTCTAAACACGAGTTCTGCACTACAATCAATCTGCTCGTTTCGCTAAAATTCAGGGACTTCCCCCCCAGACTTCCAAGCGAAGCTGAGCTTGTTCGTCGTCGTCACGCTTGGGATGTCGAATCCCCGCGTGCTGAGCCATGTTGGATCCATCAGTCACCAATGTCGCGACCTCGGAGAAAAGTGCCCCGGTTTTGAGGGCTGAGTGCGAGACATGCCGTCTGCCAACGCCCTCGACAATCAACGAGCAACCGCGCCTCGCACCTTGCCCCCGCTTATGTGATTGAAGTCATCAGCCGCTGAGGCTAATTTTGAGCGCAGTGAGATTTCAGGTGTTTAATTGGAAAGTATGGCAAGTGTGGCTACAGCAATTATGAGGTGTGGCACCGCCCATCGCTTGAAACAGCAGGGGCCAAGATGAACAGCAGGGCCTTCAATCTACCCTAGCCTTGGGTATGGCATCCCCCAAAAAACCAGAAGCATCCCGAGTCTTGGTGTAGTTGTCAGCCACACCTATCTGGTCCTGCTCGGTTGTCTTGAGCTCATCTTCGCGCAGGCTTGGTCCAGCACCGGATAGATCTCAGCAGAAGACCATACTATACTTTCCAGACCGACAGAAGTAAGAAGCATCTGCTTTCAGCTTCAGTGGAACCTGAACTTAGTGAGACGACGAGGGTTTCGAAGCATGGAGGACGGCGCCTCTTCAGCCGCTTGGAGAACTTTCTGACCGGTCAGAATCCTCCTCGAATTTGCATTTATGGTTGTCCGTGTGGTGGTCATGGAAGACAGATGAGTAGGAGAAGAAGGAGATTTGCGAGGAGGAGCGGCAGCGAAGTGATCTCTCCTGCCATGCCTTTGAAGACTAGAGGCTGCCCACAACAAGTCTGAAAGTACTCAGCAGTAAGGCGAAGACCTCCACGGGTGCTCCTGCGGCGGCATCGAAGGGCACGCGTGCTGGGCATCTTGGTTTTCTCTCATCTTTGACAAAGCCTTTCTGGTGTGCGACTTCGATGTCAGAGATGTTGTCGGGTGACTTCGGGGCTCTACTCCATGTCTCACACTTGGACCATCCGAGGTACAAGAAGCAAGCTGCTACGCCTCCGACACACGGCCTTCGAAGTGCATGATGTTCAGGAGCTTTGCGTGCCCGGTCTCGGTTTTTTTGACAGCCACACCATGGACTTTGCAAGCGACAGCGGCATGTGTTTCATGAGTTGCCACGTGCAGCGCACAGCAAAAGAAGAAGCCTCGGCTTGGCCTTGAACTCGCACAGAGACCTTCAGCTTCCAAGTGCAGCCCAGGAAATGGAGCATGGCGGAAAAGCCCAAGATGTGCCTTGACTATGGGACACCGTACCTTTACCGTACCTTCACCATACATGTGTCGAAGCCAGGGAGCCTTCAGAGAAACCGCGACGACCTCCGAGGATCATTGGAGGTCCGGTCCCCTCCTGGCAGGCGAGTATCCCAGGCGGGACCCGCGGGACCCACGTCGCTTCACCCCTGCAAAAAAGTTGCTGCCAGTAGTATAGTATCGTGTTACACTAGCAGGCACGAGCATCTACGGTTACGTCTCTCCCTGCCCTGCTTGTTTTTGTACAATCAAACTAGAAGTGTAAGAAAGGTTTTCGTCACACTGCGACGAAAGCACGGATGCAGGGAAAATCCACGTGCGGGAGAGAAGCCTTGCATCCCGAAAGCAAAGCGATAGAGTACAGGAGGCCGTGGGATCAAGACGGGCCAGTTCGGTCCAGCACCCCGCCTCTACTACGCCGGGTTCTCCCGTACGCAGCTTTACAGGGGCGGAGAACCGCAAGCGGAAGATGAAGCGGCGCTCGTCCACAACTCCGCTCTCCATGCGCAGTGCTGTTGAAGCCGGGGCCGCGAATTTCAGAAGACGGCCGGGTCAAAAAGTCGACAACGAAGCGAGGCCGATGAACTGGAAGGCGGTTTGTGATCCCAAACCAATGACAGCTACTGCCACAACAAAATGTACACCGGGGGTTCGAGCACCCGGAATACTGTAGCACGACGACACTGCACTCGTAATTGTAGTTGTAGCATTTTAGAGGTGGCAGTGCGGTGATCTTGGAGAACCCACTGGCGCTGCTCTCTGCATGAGCTCCGACTCAGTGCGCTGACGTCCAGGTCCTCAGTACAACTACGACACCAACAGCTTCAAGAAACCTGGCTTCATGAATCCAGGAAAACAAGTACCAATTGCCAGTGCGCTCTAGTTCCCTCTAGTGTTCCCTCTCATGCCTGCAGCCTCAGGAAGAAGCAGCCGGTGTACTCCATGCGCCCAAAGCCAGAGATGGTCATAGGCCTCGCCGCCCAGGGAGGGATTGGTGATGTGAGGGCCGAAGGCCTCTGGACCGTGATTTACGCGTCGGCTACGTCTTCTTTAGTTTTGTGTGGCCGTTGCTCTGTAGCTGCTAGGCCTGAAGGTTCCGCAAAGTAATTGAGATGGGCCACCTGATGCACACGTAGCTTGGTTTGTCGCGGTCTCGCCACTGGCCCTAAACACAGACTGGTCCGCCTAACCAGAATCCACCTGCAGTGGCCACAAAGAGAGTTCTAGGCTTGGCATTTCGTTTTGACCAGGTGGCGGCGTGCCTTCTTGGACCAAGTCCATCCCGGGCCCCATCTACAGCTACGACACGAACAGTCTCTCTTCGAAACCTTTGACTTTGCTAGGGGTCTGAATAGTGGGGAAGCAACGCAGGCTACGACCTCTGGGTTGACTCGCGATGCTGTCCTCTCTACATGTGTTTGAAGCTCAGGTTTCAAGGAGAAGCAGCCTGTTTACAGCATCCGTGGAAGGGGCGACGATGATTTTGGCAACTTGGTCTTCAATTTCTGGCTGTTGCGACTGTTCGGGTCCACTAAATAGAGCCGTGAATTCGGGGCCTGCTGCGACAAACGCCGCGGTAGTGTAAACAACTTATTCAACGAGCACTCACCTCACGTGCAATAGATAGCCAAAGACTGATGTTCGTGCCTCATCCTGGTGAGCGTGCACATGAGCAGTCATGCGCAAGACAGAGACGAACAAGAAGAACCTCAGAGCCCTCCCTGGGCCAAACGACCTGGTTTGTGCTTTGCCTCAAGGGGGTTCCATTTTTGACCAACTATCTTCAGTTCGCTCCGAAAAAGGTGTAAGTTACAGCATCAGCCGTCGTCGGCACAAGGCATTTTTGGCGTTTTTTCTCGGCTTCCAGGCCCCCGGCCCTCAAGGCTCCAAGTGCCTCGCGCTCTCAGGCAACAAGAATGCCAAAGATGCCCCGCAGATATCGACAGAGCAGCTTATGAAGGCCGGGGCCTGGGGCCTGGCCAGGACTTGGGAGCTCTTCGCTAAACTGGCTCTTTGGGTGCCGTGTTTGAAGCCGCCATACCCTTTGTTCGTCCTTGGGGCTTCTTGTTGTCGTGTAGCACCGGCTAGCACCATCTCCCAGATCACGTGATCTCCCGAAGCGAAGCTTCTCTTGCAGGGCATCGATGCCACGCGGAAGAAGCCGCCGTCCTGGTCCCTTGGCTGCTACTAGGCCACGAGCAGGGGATCCTTGGCCCCCCGGCTGCCCAGCTGTCAGAGCCGAGCCCTCTGCGGCTCTGCGAGGTCGGTGAAGTCGCGGCCTGCCATGGTGCCCGGGGATGCAGTGCCCTCCTGGGTGGCTTCCATCCCAGGCAAAGCCGGGAATTGACGATTTTGGGGTTGAGGTGTAGTTGAGGGAAGGATTGAAGTGCTCAGCTTTCTGGGTGAGGGGTCTTTGGGGGGGGAAGCTCGTTTTCACCGGCCGGGCGGATCTCAAAACTGTTTTTGATACGCTGAGCTCAGAAGCTTACCGCTCTCGCTCGCTCGCTCGCTTTATCTCTACCTT